GATATGCAAATTAACCCGTAAAGGGACCGGCCAGTGCCTGAACCTGCAAGACTTGGCTTAGACTTGACCAGACTGAATCTGTTAACACAGTTTGAGAAAGTTCAAGTCCATTACAAGGGGAGCTGGGGAGCAAAGGAAGCTTATAAAAGGCCGTCGTCAGGGCCAGTGACAATCATCCACAGCGGTCCCACGTGCATTTCAGGGGAGAGCAGTGAAGGGACATGAACCCATGAGGCTCTGAGGACACTGGTTTCTAAAGGACAGAACTCAAATTCTGTTCACATCAAAGCTTCTCGTGAAGCTAGACTTTTGACTCTAAAAAGAAGTAACCTGTTTATCAGCTCAGTATCATTTGTTTGCTTGTTAGTTATATTTTGTATTGTTAAAAAGCAAGCTGACATTCTAGTTTATACATCTAGTTTATTTCTCTTAGTAACTCAGTTAAGGTAAGGAGATTCTGTACATGCAGAGCTGCCGGCTCCATTCTGGCCATGCTGAGTCCGTAGGTGAACAGACCCTTTGGGATCCATCTGGTTTCCCAGTGGCTTTCCTGGGTCATACTGATCCTTTTAAAATACCAAAATACCTGTAGAAGAGTCTTTTTACAGATTGCATCTCTGCTCAAAAACCCAAGATAGATCCCTACTTATTATTAACTCAGGGTAAAAAACCAAACAAAAACAAAAAAAACCCCACCCAGGCCTGACTTTTAGGTGGGAGAATCCTCCATCCTTGTATGTGGTGTATTTCCCACTGTGTTTACCATGAGATTTCCCCTCTCACATTCATCAAATGGGGCCAAAATACTTTTCCTCATCCATTCCTTGCTTGAAATTACATTCCTTCTCCTCTTCAGTTTAATAAAATTCCACCCCTTTCCTCAAAGTCTAATTCATGTTCCACTTTCTCCAAGAAACCTTGCCTATGGTTCAGCCTGACTGCTTTCTCCTTTCACTCAGTTCTAGAACCAGGATGGTCAGTGCCACGTCACCTTCACGTGATCACACTACAGTCTTGTACTAACGTTTAGTTGGTCTGCATATGTTCCTGTTGCCCACCCCACTTGTACTTTCCCTGGAAAAAGTGAAAGTACAATCAAACCAGTAACTGGTCAACTCCATAAGAGCTGTCTATGCCCTTTAAGAATTCCTATATCAGTCCCTATAGTAACTAGGCGGCGGTCCCACGTGCATTTCAGGGGAGAGCAGTGAAGGGACATGAACCCATGAGGCTCTGAGGCCACCGGTTTCTAAAGGACAGAACTCAAATTCCGTTCACATCAAAGCTTCTCATGAAGCTAGACTTTTGACTCTAAAAAGAAGTAACCTGTTTATCAGCTCAGTATCATTTGTTTGCTTGTCAGTTATATTTTGTATTGTTAAAAAGCAAGCTGACATTCTAGTTTATACATCTAGTTTATTTCTCTTAGTAACTCAGTTAAGGTAAGGAGATTCTGTACATGCAGAGCTGCCGGCTCCATTCTGGCCATGCTGAGTCCGTAGGTGAACAGACCCTTTGGGATCCATCTGGTTTCCCAGTGGCCTTCCTGGGTCATACTGATCCTTTTAAAATACCAAAATACCTGTAGAAGAGTCTTTTTACAGATTGCATCTCTGCTCAAAAACCCAAGATAGATCCCTACTTATTATTAACTCAGGGTAAAAAACCAAACAAAAACAAAAAAAACCCCATCCAGGCCTGACTTTTAGGTGGGAGAATCCTCCATACTTGTATGTAGTGTATTTCCCACTGTGTTTACCATGAGATTTCCCCTCTCATATTCATCAAATGGGGCCAAAATACTTTTCCTTATCCATTCCTTGCTTGAAATTACATTCCTTCTCCTCTTCAGTTTAATAAAATTCCACCCCTTTCCTCAAAGTCTAATTCACCTTCCACTTTTTCCAAGAAACCTTGCCTATGGTTCAGCCTGACTGCTTCTCCTTTCACTCAGTTCTAGAACCAGGATGGTCAGTGCCACGTCACCTTCACGTGATCACACTACAGTCTCGTACTAACGTTTAGTTGGTCTGCATATGTTCCTGTTGCCCACCCCACTTGTACTCTCTCCCTGGAAAAGGTGAAAGTACAATCAAACCAGTAACTGGTCAACTCCATAAGAGCTGTCTGTGCCCTTTAAGAATTCCTATATCAGTCCCTATAGTAACTAGGCACAGAGTAAACCAGCAACAAATATTCTCAATGGACAGGTCTTTATAATGGGAAATACATAAGCACAATAATTTTTACAACCACTTGTTCATTTAACAATTTTTATACATTATATTCTCTAGAATATAATGAAGATTCTACAGCTTCCCCCAATAAATTAATGCTAAAGAAGCATCTTCAGATGTATTTTTCTTAGGCCAATCTCTGAAACTGATTATTTTAAAAGCATCTTTAATTGTCCCACCATGTTTTTTAGAACATCTTTAGCTGCACTATAAATCAAACTGTTAAAATGATTTTTGTAAAATTTCTCAAAATAAAGTTTTCTATTTTGTAACTATATGAAGTTCTGAGGAAATTTTTGTGGGTTTTTTTTTAAGGTTTATTAAGCTGGGCTAAAGTAATCAGAGACAACTTTATCAACAATTTTATCAGGACTCTTTGAAATCATGTTGATGCTGAGTGTGTTAGTCCTTTCTGTTGCTTATAACAAAATACCTGGAACTGGGTAATTTATAAGAAACTGAAATTTGTTGGTTACAGTTTCGGAGGCTGGGAAGCCCAAAGTCAAGGGAACACATCTGGTGAGCGTCTTGGTGGTGGGGACAGTGACCCAGAAGTCTTACATGGCAAAAACAGCAGAGCAGAGAGAGGGAACTTCTCATGTGCTTTCCTTTTAAAGTCCTCAGAACCATGCCCCTGACCACCATTATTAATCCATTCCCTACAGCACTGTCCTACAATCTAACCACCTCTTCAAGGCCCCTCAATTACCATAACAGAATTTCCCACCCTCTTAACACTATCACAATGGGGGTTAAGTTTTTTTTGGGGGGGACACTCAATCCAAGGCACTGGGGTTGTCAGAGTTAATTATTAACAGACTGAAGAGTCCTATTGTGGGATTTAAAGGAGTACTGATTTCTAGAATTGAGGTTGGAGTGGCATCCTATAATGTTCCTAGCATACAATACCTGGCCCAATAGGTTACAATTGAATAAATAAATTATTTTGGCATACTGCCTGTGAAGTGATCCTAAAGAGCAGGCAACTAAATGAAAACAATGCCTTTTTAAATAAAAAAAATAGAAAGTCCTCAATTCTTTAAAAGAGCACCTATGAATATGTATCTATAAAACCTCAAATGGAAATGTTATTCTGAAATATAGCGAAGTCAAGAAACATGAGTATGAACATAATGAAAAAGTTCATAAATGCAGTGTAAGTTTTAAAGTTTTCATCAGTAAAGAATAATTTGAATTGAGTTTGAAGTTTCAAAGCTAAAACATTGGAAAAATACTTAAACATCTCACTGCTAAAGAGATGACATAACATTGAATCATCTTCCAAAACCTCTGAATTCAAGAATGACAGAAAGATAATTATTTTTGAGAAACTGATTCGAAACGAAACAGGGGGATCAACTCACTTTAAAATATATCTTCTAAAACAAAAAGACCTACATATTACAGCCTCTATTTCTAAAACTTTTGTATCAGGATTTATTAGGAATATGAACTTTATAATATTGTACGTGTAGCAAATCTTTCCCTTTTATTATAACTGTTGTCATAAAGCTTCCTTCCATACCTTTTCCGAGCACTTCTTTTGAAAAAGGGCTTAATCACTTCAATGTTGGATTTGCAGACAACTGAGTACAAATGTTTTATATTTCTATTAGCGGAAAGTACATAAATGTGTATGTATGTAAATATCTTAGGTCATAGTCATGGTAGCAAAAGCCAAAAGATTGAAATATTTTTATTGGAACAAAAGTACTACGTGACTTTTAAGGTATTGGTTTAATTTTCCTAGGTGCTATGTAACCCTACTTTAGGTCAAAGATCATAAGCAGAACTGACAAAAGATGTTCCCAAGTGACTGTCTTGTAACGAGTTTTATATTAAGCCATATATTTTCTTTCACCTGATCACATACTATACCCCAAGCTATCTAGATCGCTGATGCCCACGTGTGTAGAAGGGAGGCAATTTCAGCCCCCTGTGAAATCCCATTTCATGCATCTTTGAGAAATCCAAATGTGCATGATAATAAAATATATCACAGAGACAAGAGTTCTTGCCAGCAGGTTTCTAGTAGTGAAACTAAAAGCATATCCTAATCCATCTGCAAGCTCACAAAGTAGGCAAATGTCAAAAGCCAGAATGGCTTTGTGTTGGAATCGCTATACAATTCTTGCTCATACTCTATTTTCAGTTCCCAGGCTGTGAATTTTCCTTCCAGAGACTGCTTGAATACACCTCAGCCTCTCTCTGGCTCTTCAACTTTTCACCTCTAAGTTATTCACCCTTCTGTAATGCAAAGAAGTACAGAGAGAATATACTGGTGTGTTTGTTCTCTGACATTAAGAATATAAATTGCAAGGGTGGGGTTGTTTTTAAAAGAGTGGTAAACTTTCAAAGTTAGCACTTGGCGAAGAAAAACATGCCTCGCCAATCTAAATTCCCCACTGGAACGTCCTAGGTTCCGCAGGTACATTAAAACGCATTAAGAATATTCCAAGGATTTCCTGGCAGTCTGGATTGCAAGATGTTTGAACAGAGCCCGACTATTTCAGGAAAATCCAACAGTTACGTTCGAGACTGCAGGAATACAGAATTATGTAAGGCACTGCAGAGTATGTGAGACCCAATGCTTCTGTGAACACCACTCACAATTCAGCACACTGGAGCGGTAAAGGAAGCCTCCTGTCCACCGACAAAGCGCACAAGCATGCTAGGGGGACCAGGACAGGGGTGCTGGCTCGCGCCTTCTCTCGGCCCTTGCAGAGGAGGAGGGGGTAAGAAGAGAGAGGGAAGGCAAAGTACCGTCTTGTCCAGGCACTGAAGGCAGCTGTGAGGCTTGCAGCAGCAGTGGCCCATCCCGGCAGGCTGGCTGGCAGGCAAGGGCGCCTCCTCCACTCAGCGCGTCGGCCTGGGCACCGGCACACGCGAAAGGGGCGCGCCGCTGGGCGCTGTCACTACTTCCATGTGCTTCCCTCGGCTACCTTATTTCTCCTAATAACTTCAGGAATCCAGGAGCCAGAGAAATGAGAGGACAGCAGAGCGGCAGCGTGGGGATTCTGCAGCCGGAGGCGAGCGGGCGGGAGCGAGGAAGGGAGGGGACAGGCGGGAGGGAGGGTCACTTTGCCACTGGAATCCTCAGAGTGAGGCACATCAATAGTCGCATAACAACGGAGCAATGGCCAAAGCCTCCTCCCGAGGAGGACAGCCAGTCCGCTCCTGGGCAGCGGCGGCCGCTCCCAGCCCGCCCCGCTGGGGATGCGCCTCTGCACCACGCAGACACGCCTGGAGAGGACGCAGGGGACGCACAAAAGCAGAGCCCGGGCTTCCAGGGACACCGGCCTGAGGACCGCAGAAGGGCTGAGAGGCTCGGCTCGGCTCGAATCCTGGCTTTCTACTTTTCTGAGAAGTAAAAATATTTATAAACGTGATGGACATGGCCTCTCCTCCCATGGAACTCCTCCAGAGGTATTTGTTGCCCATGGGGACCACCAAGTGCTCATATCCAAATTTGCATGCCACGAACCATTTTTGCCTTATTTGATGAAATCTTCGTATTTGAAATATAATTGTGAAATGGCTTGCCTGGGCTGACATACACAAATCATTCAAGTGGCTTCAGTTGTTCAAACTGCGGTGTGGGGCAGATATTTCTCCTAGGCAGATTGGCACAAAGCTTTGAAGGACTTGATCACATTTTTAGGCAATCTATAATTTTTCAAATAGTTAAAAATTCGAAAGGGAAGGGGACAGGGAGCAAAAGTTTTCTTCAAGAAAGACTTGTTATTTAAAAATATATTTAAGGACTGGCTGGTTAGCTCAGTTGGTTAGAGGACAGCCTTACAACACTGAGGCCACAGGTTTGGACTCCTGTGCTGGCTAGCCACCAAAAAAAAAAAAAAAAAAAAAAAAAGAAAAGAAAAGAAAAAGAAAAAGAAATATATATTTTTTTTAAATAAAAATATATTTATGTAATCCTGAAAGTAAAAGATGCACATTTTTACAAGATTAACTTTATGTGTCCTGATACCTCAGAGGAGAAATCCTGAAATCTATCATCTTCAGAAATAACCGTTATATTGTCATCCACTAAATTTGCCTACGGTTACAAGCAGACAATAGTTATTAAGATCAGGTGATTTTAATAGCTTAACTGAAAATTTCCAAGCAGATTTTAAGTATTAAAGGCTATTTAAAATTGCTTGTAGAGAAAACAAGAATATTTGGTGATCAAATAGGAACAGACGGGGATGTTTGCCCTACACTTGAAAGGATAAACTCAAATCTTTCTTTAAGCTAACAGGTATGTTAGCACAGTCCTGTAGGAAGGCGATTTGGCTGTACCTATCAAAATACTAAATATACATACACTTTGACCTAACATCTCCACTTTTATTCTACAATAATACATAAATATGCAAGCATGTATGCATAAGGATTTCAATCCAGCATCATTTGTAACAGCATAAATATGGAATATACCCTAGATTTCTAACATGTTTCCACTGTATGGAAAGGTGATACATTGTTGAGTGAGAAGGAAAACCTCTATAAATAAAACAAACATATACTTGTGTGTGTTTGGAATAAAGTTTTGGGAAGATACACACTGTTCACGTAGAAGCAGCCTACCCCTACAGAATGGGAAATGGGTGAGGGAGCAAATTTCCATTTTTTACCCTCTCGCCAGCATGTGTTTATTTTTATTGTTTTAAAACAAAGTGTACCAGGGTAAAGGCAGGACCCACCGTGTGGGCTTTGTGCTGTTGGGAGGTGCAGAGCTGCGTCTCTCTCACACAGGCTTATGCTCCCAGGCAGAGAGCTTGGGCAGACCTCTCAAAGGGAGAGAAGCTCACAGTACCTTGAGCTTGAACCTGGGCTGACAGCTGTTCCTGGGACTTTGGTAACCTTGGGAGAAAAACTTTATGTTGCAAGAAGCAGTGGCTTGGTATACCAGCATTATTCATTATAGCCAAAAGGAAGCAACCCAAGTGTTCATTGATAGATGAGTGGATGAACAAAATGTAGTGTATACATACAGTGGAATACTATTCAGCCTTAAAAAGGATGGGAAATTTGACGCGTGCTACAACATGGGTGAACCTTGAAGACATTATGCTAAGTCAAACACAATCTAGTCACAAAAAGGACAAATACTATATGATTTCACTTATATGAGGCACGTAGAGTTATTGAATTCATAGAGACAGAGAATAGAATGGCAGTTGTCATGGATGGAGGGAGGGGAGAGCAGGGAGTTACTTAATGGAACAGAGTTTCACTTTTACAAGATGAGAAGAGTTCTGCAAATTGCACAATATTATGTGAATGTACTTAATGCTGTTGAACTGTACATTTAAACATAGTTAAGATGACAAATTTTCTGTGTATTTTAACACAATGTTTTTAAAAAATGTAGTAGCTTGAACTCACCTGGAGGCAAACACAGTCCCAGCACACAGGTATGGGTCGAGTCAAGATAGAGCAAAGCCCCTAGCAGAAAGAGCCAGGGGGTGTGGGGAGGCCACATCAAGCTAAACCTCTCCCCACAGTGAGAGATTGCTTTCTTTGGGTGGAGTTGTCTTCCAGCAGATAGTCCACCTTAGGGAACCATTTCTTTCTAAATTAGGATTTTTTTCTTTCCTTTTTTTTTTTTTTTTT